CGGCTCACTCTGTTTGCACTTGACACCAAATCTTCTTCGACACCCCATCTCCATTTGTATTGCCATCTTCCTAAAATTCAACTCCACCCTTTGTTTTCCACATTCTCTTCGACCTCTTCTTCCATCTCCATTCCTTCTTTGAAATCCACCTTTGTGTCCCTGTCCCAATATCCGTCTTCCATTGCCAGCTTAGCTGGCAGGCACTTTGACTTTGTGGCTGTGCTATCTAGTGCAGGGTGGAAATGGGTGCACTGGTTGCTGGCATATTATCGACTCGTTGTGCAGCCCAATCAGCCATGCAAAATGGTCTTGAGTGGCAACAAATCTGCCCAATTAGCTGAATCGCTTTCCATACACCCACTCCTTTCGACACACCCACTCGCCCATATTCCGGTCACCATATTGGGCTGCAGCTACCCATACTTGAATAAACCTGGGTCAATGGAAACCTGCCGACTGACAATGTATCAGGTGCTGATGCAGAATCAAGAGATCCTTTTTTACAATAGCAATGTGGATTTTCCTACCTGAAGACCGACTGTCAACACCAGCCTATGATCTTGTTTAGTTTGCAAAAGAGTGTTACTAAAGATTTTTTAGTATGCCGTTAATACCAAGATAATTAATTGATACATTTTATGTTACATTTTCTTTGATTATGTTTACATAAAAAACATCTCCTATATACACTGAACAAAAATATTAATGCAACATGTAAAGTGTTGGTCCCATGTTTCATGAGCTGAAATAAAAGATCCCAGAAATTGTCCATTCACACAAAAAGCATATATGCTACACATTTGTTTACATCCCTTTTAGTGAGCATTTCTCCTTTACCAAGATAATCCATCTGACAGGTGTGGCATATAAAGAAGCTGATTAAACAGCATATTACACAGGTGTACCTTGTGCTGGGAACAATAAAAGGCCACTCTAAAATGTGCAGTTTTGTCACCAACACAATGCCACAGATTTATCAAGTTTTGAGGGAGTGTGCAATTGGCATGCTGACTGCAGGAATGTCCACCAGAGTTGTTGCCAGAGAATTGAATGTTAATTTATCTACCATAAGCTGCCTCCAACATCGTTTTATAGAATTTGGCAGTACGTCCAACCGGCCTCACAACCGCAGACCACGTGTAACCACGCCATGCCAGGACCTCCACATCTGGCTTCTTTACCTGTGGGATCGTCTGAGACCAGCCACCCGGACAGCTGATGAAACTGTCGGCTTGCACAACCGAAGAATTTCTGCACAAACTGAGAAACCGTCTCATGGAAGCTCTTCTGCGTGCTCGTCGTCCTCACCAGGGTCTTGACCTGATGTTAACTTTGTGAACAGCGTGCCCCATGGTGGCGGTGGAGTTATGGTATGGGCAAGCATAAGCTACGGACAACAAACACAATTGCATATTATATATGGCAATTTGAATGCACAGAGATACCGTGACGAGATCCTGAGGCCCATTGTCGCGCCATTTATCCGCCGCCATCATCTCATGTTTCAGCAGGATAATGCACGGCCTCATGTCGCAAGGATCTGTACACAATTCCTGGAAGTTGAAAAAGTTCCCAGTTCTTCCATGGCCTGCATACTCACCAGACATGTCACCCTTTGAGCCCGTTTGGGATGCTCTGGATCGACGTGTACGACAGCGCGTTACAGTTCCTGCCAATATCCAGCCACTTCGCACAGCCATTGAAGAGGAGTGGAACAACATTCCACAGGCCACAATCAACAGCCTGATCAACTCTATGCGAAGGAGATGTGTCGCGCTGCATGAGGCAAATGGTGGTCACACCAGATACTGACTGGTGTTTTGATCTACACCCCTACTTTTTTTGTTAAGGTGTCTGTACCAACAGATGCATATCTGTATTCCCAGTCATGTGAAATACATAGATTAGGGCTTAATACATTTTTCAATTGACTGATTTCCTTATATGAACTGTAACTCAGTAAAATCTTTGAAATTGTTGCATGTTGCATTTATATTTTTGTTCAGTGTACTTTAAGTGCTGCCCGTCTTCCCAGTAGCCTACTTGGTGTGTGAACTGCTGACTGCTCATAACATGCAGCTGATTGTTGGCACATCAACCAGGATTAAGGGGCAGGGCAATTTGTGACTGTTGTCGTTTTGTTAATCAGTGGCTGAATTGGAGGGGGAGTGGTTTATCCTATCCTAGGCAATCAGCAATTAGTACCGGGAGGTGTGCTTTTCACCTCTGCTAGGCAATTAGTGTTAGTACTTCAGTCTCCCATTTTCTCAGTGGCAGCTGTAAGCGGTGGCGTCTAAACAAAGACGGTTCTGCCGAGTTCAACTAGAGTTATTCGAGGAAGGAAAGGGAGGAATTCTCAACACCACTCTCACTTGAATTTCTTAGCTAGTTATTTTCAGATCTCATTTTGCTCTTTTGTAGCTTTGTCAACGATGTGTGTGTTTTCTATACCTATTCGCTCCTTTCCCTGTAGGTTTTACAGACACTCCCCACCCCTTGGCTGCAACCCTTCTAATTTAGTGTACCCTGCGTGCACAACCCATGTGGAATTCCTGGTCTCGGCAGAGTTTGGAACTGCTGATCTGCGGTCAAGAACACCAAGTTCATCTCAGCCTATGCTGCCCTTCAGTCCCTAGACTTTTTGGCCCTGGTCGTTGCAGTGGTGGCACAGGCCTACACATTTCTCCTAAATGGAGATTTTCTCTTTTCTCCCTCACTCACCTACCTGTCCTCATTTGAATTCCATGCAGTCACTGTCACTTGCCCACTCAAACATTGTCATCTATCGCACACCAGGTGCCCTTAGAGAGTTCCTCAATGAGCTTGACACCTTGATAAGCTCATTTCCCGACGATGGCTCACCGCTCTTTGTATTGGGCGACTTCAACCTCCTGACGTCTGCCTTCCATTCATTTATTTATTTCCCCTCCTTGCATCATTTAACCTCACCCTTTCCCAGTCCCCTCCCACTCACAAGGCAGGTAATACGCTTGACCTCATCTTTACTAGAGGCTGTTCGCCTACTAATCTCACTGCAACCCCCCTCCAGGTCTCCGATCCCTACTTTGTGTCAGTCTCCTTCTCCTCCAACCCTACCCACTCAACCCCTACCCAGATGGTCATGCGCCATCACAATTCTCTCTCTCCCACTACTCTCCTCTTCTATCCTATCATTTATCCCTTCTGCTAAATCATTCTCCCTCCTGTCTCCTGATTCTGCCTCTTTAACCTTACTCTCCTCCTTTTCCGCATCCTATGACTCACACTGTCCCTTTTCCTCCCGTCCGGCTCGGCCCTCCCGCTCCGTGGCTGAGTGACTCATTGCGAGTTTACAGAACAGGGCTGCAGGCAGCTGAGTGAAAATGGAGGTAAACTAAACTTGACCTTAATTAATCCACCCTTTCACTTCCCCCTCTCTACCTTATCTCCCTCTATCTGCTGCTAAAGCCACTGTCTATCACTCTACATTTTAAACTTCTGCCTCTAAGCCTAGGAACCCCCCCCTCCCCCGGATGACTTTATCAACCACTTTGAAAAGAAAGTTGACGACATCTGCTCCTCATTTACTTAGCCTATTGAGTCCAATGGTCCCACTCACACAGAACTACCCCTACGCCTTGACCTCTTTCTCCTCTCTCTCCAGATGAAATCCTGCGACTAGTGAGGTCCGGCCGCCCGACAACCTGCCCGCTCGACCCCATCCGCTCCAGACCATCTCTGGAGGGGATCGGGTCGAGTGTTGGTTTCTTTAGGAGGGGAGCGACTCTGGCCATTTTGAAGTCATAGGGGATGCAGCCTGTGGTCAGGGATAAGTTGATGAGGGAAGTAAGGAATGGGAGAAAGTCTCCAGAGATGGTCTGGAGGGGATGGGGTCGAGCGGGCAGGTTGTCTGGCGGCCGGACCTCACTAGTCGCAGGATTTCATCTGGAGAGAGAGGTCAAGGCGTAGTTCTGTGTGAGTGGGACCATTGAACTCAATAGGCTAAGTAAATGAGGAGCAAACTACTTGAGCGTGCGGTCTCTGACCAACTCTCTTGCTATCTCTCTCAGAACGATCTTCTTGACCCTAACCAGTCAAGCTTCAAGGCGGGTCACTCAACCGAGACTGCTCTCCTCTGTGTCACGGAAGCTCTCCGCACTGCCAAAGCTGACTCTCTCCGCTCTCCTTTTATCCTCCTAGATCTATCCACTGCCTTTGACACCGTGAACCATCAGATCCTCCTCTCCACCCTCTCAGGGCTGGGTGTTTCAGGCTCTGCACACTCTTGGATTGCATCTTACCTGGCAGGTCGCTCGTACCAGGTGAGGTGGAGAGGATCTGTGTCTGCACCACGTACTCTCACTACTGGTGTTCCCCAGGGCTCGGTTCTAGGTCCTCTTCTCTTTATACCCCAAGTTATTTGGCTCCGTCATATCCTCACATGGTCTCTCCTATCATCCTATCACACACATCTCTGAGTGAGTGGCAGATATCTCAGCTTGGATGTCTGCCCAAGCTCAACAAGACTGAGCTGCTCTTCCTTCCGGGGAAGGACAGCCCGCTCCAAGATCTCTACATCATGGTTGACAACTCCAGTGTCCTCCGCACTTGACCCACCCCAGCACTGATTTTGCAGATAGCTACCTTGAGGGAAAAAAAATGTACTTACTATGACTGTGGTTGGCCCACCTAGCTATCTTAAGATGAATGCACTAACTGTAAGTCGCTCTGGATAAGAGCGTCTGCTAAATGACAAATGTATTAAAACATTGACGAGTACATTTGGAAATGATCAAAAACATGTTTACCAAATGTGTTTCTATTCCAAGTTTACCCATTCCCTTCATGACTGACTTACCTTTGTTTGCATTTACGCTGGAAAGGGCAAAGATAACAATGCTTCAAACTGAAAAATGCATCTGATGGTGTGTCAATCAGTAACCTTATCCTCACATCATAACACTACTCTGGATAACATGATTAATTAGTAATAACACAATAACAGGCCAGATTCATTTTCGTGTGGTTGTTATTCTCATTAAACATGTGCAAAATATCAGAGTTACACAAGCGAAATCCATAAACATAAATAACGGAAGCTAACTGAAATGTCACAAACACCTTGCAATCTCAAGACATCAGTCAAATTTGTCAAAGAACTATGAATATTACCCTGACATATTTTCACAGTTTGTCGTTATTTTTGGTGTCTGTGTTTGAAGAAATCCCTTTGGCACACAAACCTTTAACAAGTTCAGAGGTCACCTCAGAGGACTACCTGTAGCGCTGCCACAAAGCAGGGTTTGTGTGAAGGCATCCTATCATCGTTAACCTTTTCTCTGTCCATGGCATGTGGGCATTAGGGGTCACCCACCTCAACTTCCCCCCTCAAGTCAGTCAGCAGTGGGTAATTAAAACTTGAGAGATGGAATTCTACATACCATCCCCATCTTTAGTTCCATGGGTCCTAGAGCGTGTGCTGCATCAGTGAGGTATGGTGGTGATCCTCATACTCTGGCTGGCGATAGGGTATGACACCATGGGGGTGGTGGAATGGCTTATAGTGATGCCAGGCAGAGGCTGTGCCATGGATACAGCCACCGGCGCCACGGAAACAGTGACGGGCGCCATGGAGACGGGAGGCACCATGCCCTGGACGATGGTCTGAGCCAGGGCAGCTGAGAGCGGGGTGATCTCGGGGTTGAGGTGGGGCAGGGGAGCGCTGGGTGGGGCGACGTTAGATGGGGGCACTGTAGGGGCACCGGTGGGGGCCACTAGGTCCTGCTGTGTGAGGGTGACGGTACGAGGCTGCAGCCCGGTGCTACTCCGGGTGGTATGGGTCTGGGCGATGCTGTAGGAACTGACCGCGCCCACGGGGGACGCCATGGTCTGTTCAGAGGGGGCTGGGGTGGAGGACAGGGTCATCACCGACACCTTGGTCTGGCTCCGGAACTGGGCATTCTGCTCCAGCAGCACCTCGTTGGTGGCCATGAGGTTTGACACCTGAAGAAATATTAACAAGGTGTTTGAGGAGTGATCTTAAAAGTTTAATAGATACATTGTATTGTTATGTGTGGTTGTTGATTATGTGTGGAGGGTTGTTGATCATCACCTGTCTGCTAGACTGACCTGTTTCTTCAGGTCATCCACTCTCCTCCTCAGCAGGGTGTTTTCCTCCTCCAGAAACCTGTACACTAGGGGCCGGGGTGGGAGGGCCGCCTGCACCCCCAGCTCATAGTGCCCCCCTCCGTTTCCGTCCAGCCGGAGCCCCTCCAGCCTGCGTCTCTTCAGCTGCAGCATTGTGTGGTCCACAGGGGCTTCCAGGGGCAATGTCTCATACAGTCCGCTCTCAAACAGGGGATCGTACACCGAGCAGGGGCCCCTGTCAAAACGACGCGGTCCTGAGGCCCCCATTGAGAGGCAACCCCCAATCCCACTTACCCCTACTCCTCCCACCCCTGAGATACCCGGGTCTCTGCAACCCCCTAGGCTGGGGAAGCCCATCCCCATCATGTTGCCCCCACCTCCACCCCCCACCAGTCCAGCCATGCCCCCACAGGCACCCACCCCAACCCCTCCGACCCCGCCGCCTGTGTTCACCATCCCACTGGCCCCTGGGCCCAACACGCCCCCCACACCCACCCTTGCCGGCTCATACTCGTTGTCCTTCTTGACGTGGCGGAACTTACACTTGTTGCCCCGCTGGCACTCACCCTTCAGAAAGTCCCTGCAGATGGGGACCTCCCCTCGGCTGTGGGGGAGGTCCATGGGGGACAGGCCCAGTCCTGCAGCCACTTTCCCCCTCAGCCTGAGGGGTAGCTCCCCTGACTTCTTATAGTAGTCCTCATCCTCCTTGGAGCCGTGGACAAAGCGGCAGCTAGAGCGGACACACTCCTTGTTCTGGTGGTCGTGGCAGAACACAAACTCGTTCTTCTGCACCCCGAGGTCCGGCACCTCATTGAAGTCGGGGTGTTTGAAGCGGCAGCGTTTGCCCCTCTTACACACGTTCCTCAAGAAGTCTCTGCAGACCCCGTCCGGGGCCGGTCCTGACTCCGGGCCCCTGGCTCCACCTCCCCCACAGTTGTTCCCATTCCCCAGGGCCCCTCCTCCACCCATGCCCCCAGAACCACAGCCACTGTCTTCACCTCCTGCGGACCCCCCCCAGCCCTCTCCCGTGCTCCCTCCTAAACCAGACCCACCTTCCTCGCCCACACTAGTACCCACCCCGCCGCTGCTGCTCCCACCACCACCTGACAGGTAGGTGCTGTCCCGGTCAGGCATGGCGCTTGGCCCAGCGCAAGGGGAACACAGCACTCATGTGTGTGGGCGAATGACTTATTCTGAAAGCCTTTTCTGTTCCATGATAATGACTGTAGCTCCGAAGCTCTTTGGACCAATGCAATCCTTTACCCTGGCATCTGAAAGATACATGTTAAGTTGGTTGTTTTATTATATTGTTAGTGACAGTTACCTAGCTAAGATAGTTAAATAAATCTACACATAGACAATGGGGGGGGGGGGGGGGGGGGGGGCTTTACAAGTAGGCTGTCATTGTAAATAATAATGTATTCTTAACTGACTTGCCTAATTAAATATCGGTTAAATAAAAATAAAATAAACAATCTCTGTTGCGACTAACATAGCTAGTTAGTCTTGGCTATAGCTAACAGTCTCTGGCTGTTTGGGAGGTAAATAGCAACCTTGGACCTAACTAGCTGGTTAGCTAAACAACTTGTTAACTAGCGACATAACGTTAGGTCCTGGGCCCATCATGGCCCAGGTTGCTTAGCCGGGAGGATAGCTGAAGGAGAACTCGCTAGCTATAGCTATTCATCTAGCTAGCCAACCGGGCGTATTTCTATTGTGGTTAACTAGCTAACGCAACGGTACAAGCTGCAAAGTCACAACATGGTACAATTGTGCAAGCAAACTAGCTACAGGCATTCAGCTACACAGTGTGTTGAAGGATTCTGGTTACACAGCTAACTTTAGCTATCTACCTATGATTAGCTAACGTTAGCCGTCAAAGAACTTACCAAGGAAGGAACGGTGTATTGCCTACTTTCGCTGTCAGCTGATGGGATTTCTATTTTACGAATGTGAGACAAACGTTGAACTATCATTCCTATGGGCTTTTTCAACACATTATCGTGGTTTTAATAGCTGTTGACCAGTCGTGTTGTTTGGTCCTCCAAAGACAAAACAAAACCACCAGAAAAGAAGAATTTCTACCTCAACTGTTCCAAAATGTTTTCACAAGTCGTCCTGCAGATTTGCTGCCATCTACTAGACATAAGTGATGAAAACAAACACCAAACCTGCTGCGCCTGCGCTAAATCTTCTTCTTCTATGATATCATGGTGGTCCACAAACAATTGTTGAAGTGCATGCCGCCACCTACTGTGCTGGGATGTACGATCAATCATGATCTGCCCAATTCTGTACTACCAAATAAATCCCTAACTTCTCCCAGGTTCCCCTTGAGCCTGTGTAGGGATCAGATCTGTTTAATTTTTAACAGAAAACTAGTTTGATTTAGTTTATTTATAAATTTTTTGGTAGTTTGGTATTTTTTATTTTTGTTAATTTATTTCAATTTTATATATACACTACCAGCCAAAAGTTTGGAAACACCTACTCATTCAACGGTTTTTCTTTATTTTTGTTACTATTTTTTACATTGTAGAATAATAGTGAAGACATCAAAACTAGGAAATAACAAATAGCCACCCTTTGCCTTGATGAAAGCTTTGCACAATCTTGACATTCTCCATTTTGGAGAATGACTGATTGTCAGAACTCTACTAAGAGTGGGATGTTAAAGCCTTGAAGTTGACCATTAAAACCTCTTAAATGTAGGGTCCCCTTAATAGGGGACCTTGATATACATTTTTTATTTAATGTTGTCTAAAATGAGAAAGGTAGAGCCTATCCGTGAATACAGGGTGTCTGCTGAAGGCGGGAGATCTTGGCTTTCCAGCCATACCAATCTTTGGTGTGACTTAGTACCATATATGAGCATATGCCATAAATGGCAGGCCACTCCCATGAACCCTTTCAAGATGGCTGCTACCTACAGTCAGGTTAGTGTGGAGACGCTAAAACGATATAAATCTTGAACAACGTTGATATGTGCTGAAAGCTAAGACTCCACAGAGCATTAGGATATATTACAGTGGGGGAAAAAAGTATTTAGTCAGCCACCAATTGTGCATGTTCTCCCACTTAAAAAGATGAGAGAGGCCTGTAATTTTCATCATAGGTACACGTCAACTATGACAGACACATTGATTAAAAAAAATCCAGAAAATCACATTGTAGGATTTTTAATGAATTTATTTGCAAATTATGGTGGAAAATAAGTATTTGGTCACCTACAAACAAGCAAGATTTCTGGCTCTCACAGACCTGTAACTTCTTTAAGAGGCTCCTCTGTCCTCCACTCGTTACCTGTATTAATGGCACCTGTTTGAACTTGTTATCAGTATAAAAGACACCTGTCCACAACCTCAAACAGTCACACTCCAAACTCCATTATGGCCAAGACCAAAGAGCTGTCAAAGGACACCAGAAACAAAATGGTAGACCTGCACCAGGCTGGGAAGACTGAATCTGCAATAGGTAAGCTGCTTGGTTTGAAGAAATCAACTGTGGGAGCAATTATTAGGAAATGGAAGACATACAAGACCACTGATAATCTCCCTCGATCTGGGGCTCCACGCAAGATCTCACCCCGTGGGGTCAAAATGATCACAAGAACGGTGAGCAAAAATCCCAGAACCACACGGGGGGACCTAGTGAATGACCTGCAGAGAGCTGGGACCAAAGTAACAAAGCCTACCATCAGTAACACACAACGCCGCCAGGGACTAAAATCCTGCAGTGCCAGACGTGTCCCCCTGCTTAAGCCAGTACATGTCCAGGCCCGTCTGAAGTTTGCTAGAGTGCATTTGGATGATCCAGAAGAGGATTGGGAGAATGTCATATGGTCAGATGAAACCAAAATATAACTTTCTGGTAAAAACTCAACTCATCGTGTTTGGAGGACAAAGAATGCTGAGTTGCATCCAAAGAACACCATACCTACTGTGAAGCATGGGGGTGGAAACATCATGCTTTGGGGCTGTTTTTCTGCAAAGGGACCAGGACGACTGATCCGTGTAAAGGAAATAATGAATGGGGCCATGTATCGTGAGATAGAATGGCGAGTGGCCTAGGATTAAAAATCCTACAATGTGATTTTCTGGATTTTTTTTCTCCACATTTTGTCTGTCATAGTTGACGTGTACCTATGATGAAAATTACAGGCCTCTCTCATCTTTTTAAGTGGGAGAACTTGCACAATTGGTGGCTGACTAAATACTTTTTTCCCCCACTGTATGTCGACCTGTGACCTACCATTATCGATCATCAGCCCCAGAGAGTCAAGTAGTTAATTTTATACTTATTTTTCACTATACAACAAACATCTTACAAGGCACCTGACTACAGCTTATCACCTATTGTAAGAAGTATTGCAGAGGATAAAGTTGGATATGGAAAACATTGTTCATTACATTTCTATTTGTTTCCATAGTCACCAATTAAAGTTTAAATCTGCAACATATTCTTACATTTCAAATAGATAAAGCAATGGCAAAAACAAATCTACATCACAATTTTTTGCAAATCTGCATACAGTAATTGTTTCATAATTTACCCACAGACATTACATGAATAGAAAGACTTCGGAAAGTATTCAGACCCCTTGACTTTTTCCACATTTTGTTACGTTACAGCCTTATTCTAAAATTGATTAAATAAATAAAAATCCTGATCAATCTACAGACAATACCCCATAATGACAAAGCGAAAACAGGTTTTTAGAAATGTTTGCAAATGTATACAAAATGAAAAACAGACATACCTTATTTACATACGTTTTCAGACCCTTTGCTATGAGACTCCAAATTGAGCTCAGGTGCATCCTGTTTCCATTGATCATCCTAAGAGATGTTTCTACAACTTGATTGGAGTCCACCTGTGGTAAATTCTATTGATTGGACATGATTTGGAAAGGCACACACCTGTTTATATAAGGTCCCACAGTGTACAGTGCATGTCAGAGCAAAAACCAAGCCATGAGGTCAAAGGAATTGTCAAGGAATTGTCAGTGGAGCCCCGAGACAGGATTGTGTCAAGGCACAGATCTGGGGAAGGGTATAAAAAAATTTCTGCAGCACTGTCAAGAGCATTCTTAAATGGAAGAAGTTTAGAACCACCAAGACTCTTCCTAGAGCTGGCCGCCTGGCCAAACTGAGCAATCGGGGGAGAAGGGCCTTGGTCAGGGAGGTGACCAAAAACCAGATGGTCACGCTGACAGAGCTCTAGAGTTCCTCTGTGAAGATGGGAGAACCTTCCAGAAGGACAACCATCTCTGCAGCAGACGGAAGCCACTCCTCAGTAAAAGGCACATGACAGCCCGCTTGGAGTTTGCCAAAAGGCACCTAAAGACTCTCAGACCATGAGAAACAAGATTCTCTGGTCTGATGAAACCAAGATTGAACTCTTTGGCCTGAATGCCAAGCGTCACGTCTGGAGGAAACCTGGCACCATCCCTATGGTGAAGCATGGTGGTGGCAGCATCATGCTGTGGGGGTGTTTTTCAGCGGCAGGGACTGGGAGACTAGTCAGGATCGAGGCAAAGATGAACGGAGCAAAGTACAGAGAGATCCTTGATGAAAACCTGCTCCAGAGCGCTCAGGACCTCAGACTGGGGTGAAGGATCACCTTCCAACAGGACAACGACCCTAAGCACACAGTCAAGACAACGCTAAGCACAAGGCAAGTGGCTTCGGGACAAGTCTATGAATATCCTTGAGTGGCCCAGCCAGAGCCCAGACTGGAACCCGATCGAACATCTCTGGAGAGACCTGATAGAGCTTGAGAGGATCTGCAGAGAAGAATGGGAGAAACTCCCCAAATACAGGTGTGCCAAGCTTGTAGCGTCATACCCAAGAATATTCGAGGCTGTAGTTGCTGCCAAAGGTGCTTCAAAGTACTGAGTAAAGGGTCTGAATACTTATGTAAATATGACATTTCTGTTTTTAATTTTTTATAAATTAGCACAAAAAAAACACAACTGTTTTGGCTTTGTCATTATGGGGTATTGTGTGTAGATTAATGAGAAAAACATAAGACTGTAACCTAACAACATGTGAAAAAAGTCAAGGGGTCTGAATACTTGGTCCTCTGTAGCTCAGCTGGTAGAGCATGGCGCTTGTAACGCCAAGGTAGTGGGT